TAAGCACTTTCTGACTGGCCTGAGGCCATCACACAGCACAGAGACTGAATTGGCTCATGAACGCCCTGTTACTTAGCCAAGATTCAGATCCTATTTCCTCTCTGGTTCTCTCCAATTTGGCTACGGCCTTTTCATTTTTGAACTTCCAATACACTAAATCCCCCTAATAGTTTACCTCCTGTGTTGGAGGGGGATCACAGGAAGCGCAGGAGGTGTATTCACACATTGTAGCCTGCAGAGAGAGAAAGCGAAAGCGGCATGGGCTAGAGGTCTGAGCATAGGCCAGGGAGCCAGGAACTTGAGGTCCTAATTGTATTACTGTGGTGACTCTTTAGCATCTTTGCCCTATTTTCCTCACCTGTAGAAGGCGGATGATAAACCTTATTTGCAGGGATCTTGTAAAGAGTCACTAATGAGGCAAAGAGCTTTGATATACTCTATAGCACTTTTCATTCTCAGTCACCTGGCACAGCCATGAGATTAAAGTGGGCTTTCATTATACTGCCTTATTTGAGGGAGTCATCAGCTTTTTGAAGAATTCTTCTCCAGAGCTGAAACTTTCCAGAGTTCTCAGCTCAGTGGTGATTTTTGATGTTTGAAAGTTTGAGGAAAATGCCTCAGCCATTTGTGTATGTGTGTGTGCGTGCATGTATGTGTTGAGGGGAGGAGATGTAATTTTCCAGCATTTTGAAAAAAAAAAAGAATATTTTTTGCTCACTGGTAACGTAAGATCAACTGAGCCTATAATTAATGTTTATAAAATGTTATTCTCTCAGCTTTTTGTCTCTCTCAGACTCAAGCTTTCATCTTTTAGGATGCAATCCCGTTCCAGATACAGAACTAAATCCCACAGTAAAGTTCCTTTCATATTAATAATGACAAGTGCTCTGCAAATAAAATATACCCAAGTGATCTAGTGCAGTGGTCTCCAAAGTGGGGTACGCAAGAGGATCCTTAGGGGTGCGCAGCAGGAGGACAGGAGGAGCGTTGTTGTTGTTTTTTTTTGCTTCGTCAGGCGGGAGTCTGAGCGGCTTTTTTTTTTTTTTGCGCTTTGGCGCGGCAGGGGGTGTGTGCTCAAAAATTTTTTACTGATGGGGTGTGCGATCAAAAAAGTTTGGAGACCACTGATCTAGTGGGCTGAGCCCAGGACAGGTGGCCAGGAATTCCTTAATGCTAGCCCTGGTTCTGATACTAAGTTCTTACCTACACAAGAAAGTAGCAGTGGTTGAATTGAATCATTTTTAAACCAATTTAGTTAAATCAGTGCAAAAATCCTTGTGTGGACATTCATATTTCAGTATAAGCAAAGTTCATTTTGGTTTAGTTCGTACTAATCAACTTAATCTAAAACAAACTACGGTCAATGTAAACCAAAATAAGGCCTGGTCTATACTTGAAAGTTAGGGTTAGGGTTAAAAAATTCACATCCCTGACTGCCAAAGCTATGCCCACCTAACCCCCACTGTAGACACAGCTAGGCTGATTGGAAAATTCTTCTGCCGACCGAACTACTACTGCTTGAAGAAGCGGATTACTTGCAGCAACAGGAAAACTCTGTCTATTGATGTACAAAGCATCTCCATTATGATGCTACACTGGCATACCTGTACTGTTGTCGCGCCGGTAGTGTAGACATGCCCTAAACCTTTTGCACCAATGTAACTAAATCGGTTGAAAATCACACCTTTAGTTAAACAAGTGCAACTCTTTTATGTAATGCCCTTTGACTCCCTTGTGATGACCTTGGGCCAAGGCACTTTGGCTAACATTTTCAAACATGTCCTCTAATTGTGGATGATTTTGGGAGCCCAACTTCAGATCCCTATGGCTTGATTTTCAAAAGTCCTGAGTACCTGTAGCCCCTAGTATAGTCCTTCCCTCTCATGAAATCAATGGGTGGTATGAGTGCTTGCCACTTCTAAAAATTGGGCCAGAGGGGAATAAATAAAATGGAGCACTCAGAATTAGCCCCTGAGCTTGCAACCACTTATGGGTGTGCTTATCTTTAAGCACGACTAGCCTGACCGCCATTAGTGGGATTACTAGTGTATGTGAAGTTAAGTTCATGCTTAAGTGTTTGCAGGATCAGGGCCTTAGATGGCACTTTTGAAAAGTTTGGCCTTCAAGTGCAATTCCACTCTGGAAAGGGACTATGTAAAATTGCACCATCTTACACAGCATCCCCACTCCCCATGTCTATTCAGGATAGAGTTAGTCAGCAAATAGCAAAAAGTCATTTCACTGACATTTCTGTGAAGTGTTTTTCCATTTTCTGTTGACATTTATATTTAGATTAATATTCTCCATCCAGTTATCAGGCTAATCAGAAAACATTTTTATGAACATTTTTGCAATTTCCACACATCCCACCCCAATTTTTCATCAGAATCTCATTTGGGTGGAACTTTTCTGACTAGATCTAATTCAGATTATATCTACATATACTGAGTATACATGTGGTCTATGTTTGTATACTACTTTTTTCCCCTAATGTTAGCTTTGCCAGAACCAACCCAGCTAAAAAGGAATAAACTGGATTATACTCCTTTTTATGCATCATTAAACATGTTTTCCTAAATTCCAATCGCTGCAACTGAAAGCAATAGGACTGCACATTTTTCGCTGAAGGAATCCTCTGAAGACCATGGGAGTTGAACAGTTGTCACTGGGGGATATAATGTGGCCTGCAGAACCTTTGTCGGGTAATGATGCACAAAAAAGGAAAATACCTAGTTTAATTCTCAGATCTCAAGTAGAAGTTGTAGGGCTGGTGTTTAGAAAAAAGTATCTTTTAACTTTTATAAACTGAGTACATGTAATCTGGAAACCATTGCAAAACTATAAACATGACATCCTAATGGCATTTTTACTAATTTATGTTTCAGAGTAGAGCTGAACTTTTAATATCTCTGCATCTCTTTCTTAGGGCTGTGTAATACTACCACCTACAGATTTTATCTGATATTACATTAGCCCTCTAAAGAGAAGAGACATTAACGTGGGGCTTCTCCAAATACAGAAATGAAAACTAAATTTCACTGGAGTTAAATGGCTCACACAAGATATGAACAATTAGAATAGGAGGGGGAAAAAACTGAGGTCTGTATTAAAAGGACATTTTGGCTAAACACATACAGAGAGATGTAGTAGCATATTCTTAGCACATTAACAGAACTTTTGTTCTGGCGTCCTCTAAAGAACCAAGGGGTTTAAGTGCCATGAATGCAGAGGAATTATGTAGGGAGTGTAATGGGGACAATAGCCAGGATGAACTGAATGAAATTTAGAAAGAGAAGACTTCCCAGCAGTGCTACCTACTAGGCTGTTGAACAGTCTCCCAAGGGAAGGGATAGAAGCTGTATTGCTTAAGACTTTTAAAACTAGATTGGACAAAGTACTAGGAAGCAGCTCCACAGAGGTTTTCAGGCATCTAACTCCCACTGAGAATTAGACACCTAAACACCTGTGAGGATGTGGGCCTATTTATTTTTACAAAACAAGCCGGTATCGGCTCCTAGAAAATGGATTAGATTAAGGCTGGCTACGCTGCACTTTCGTCGGTAAAACTTTTGTCGCTCAGCGGTGTGAAAAAAATGCATCCCTGACCAACAAACGTTTTACCAATGAATAGCGTCGGTGTGGACAGTGCTTTGTCGGCGGGAGATGCTCTCCTGCCAACAAAGCTACCGCCCCTTGCTGGGGTGGTTTTATTTTGTTGGCAGGAGCTCTCCTGCTCACAAAGAGCGGCTACACTGTCCGTGCCTTACAGACGCAAGGCCTGCTATAAGCTGCGCGGTGTAGTCATAGCCTAAGTCTTCTTAACCTTGTACGTCACTGGTCGCTCCTATGCTCTCTTATAACCAAGACTATTTTGCATCCGAAGAAGTGTGTATTCACCCCCGAAAGCTCATGCTCCAATACGTCCGTTAGTCTATAAGGTGCCGCAGAACTCTTTGCTGCCAAGACTATTTTGTAGCCCTGACATTACGTGTCTAAGTAAGCCATCGCTATTGTTGCCACAAGTAGGATGACCAGATGTCCCGATTTTATAGGGACAGTCCCAATTTTGGGGTCTTTTTCTTATATAGGCTCCTATTACCCCCCACCCCCATCCCAATTTTTCACATTTGCTGTCTGGTCACCCTAGCCACAAGGCTGTTCTGTGATTGGAAACGGGAGGGGAAGAGAGATGGGTCTGGGAGACAACCTCTCTTCTGAGCTGCGCTCCACGTGGGGAGAAGATCCCTGCTCCACCTAGGGTGACCAGACAGCAAATATGAAAAATCGGGACAGGGGATGGGGGGTAATAGGAGCCTATATAAGAAAAAGCCCCCAAAATTGGGATTGTCCCTATAAAATCGGGACATCTGGTCACCCTAGCTCCACCCCCCAGGGGGGTCATGCCCCACCAGGGCGCAACGTTTTCCTGTAGCAGCGAGGCCGCCCCGGGGCGCTGACGCGGGTGGACGTTCCCTCGTGGGGGCAAGGACACTTGGTCGCACACCCCCGCGCGAGGACACTGGGATGCCGAGGACGGCGGTGCACGCGGCCGGAAGTCACGCTAGGCGGATGCTCCGCCAGCGGCCCGGCTCCAGCGTCACCTAGCAACCATCGGGGGTGGCCTGAGGACATCGTGTCACGTGGGCTGGCACCACGGTGGCCCGCCACTCGCCCACACGAGGCGCTGTGGATGTGAGGGCGGGGTACACTCCGCCCCCCCAGAAGCGCGCCACGCGAAGGGCCCCGATCCAGGCAGGATCAATTCGACAGCCCCCTTCAAAGCCCCAGGGCTGCCCAGCAGTTGCCTGTGTAGCTGCCACGCAGCGCTGGGGGTGGCTGAGCGTTTTAATAGCGCTGGGTTTCTGCTACGTCCCTAGCAAGCCCCGCTTCCCCCTTGGAAAAGCTCCCTGTTTTGACTTGCCTTCCCTTTTAAGTCAGGCACCTCTCCAGGCGCCCTATTCTGCGCCCGAGGGGAAGAAGGCCCCGTTCTCCCAAGATGGCGGCGCTGGCAGGTTACCCTGGGGGCTCTGCGCGCCGCTAGCTTAGAAGGCCCCAAAGATGGCGATGCTGGCAGAGCGTGAGTAGTGGGGCTGCTGAGGGGGTTACAGCCGGCAAGGTGGGTGAAGGGAGAAACCATCATGTGTCTGGGAAAGGGAGCTACCACTATCTACTCAGGAGGGGTGTGGGGAGAAACCATAGCCGATGAGGAGGTGGACACCACTAGGGATGTCGGGGGAAAGGGGAGCGTGTCCGTGATGGAAGGATGGACTAGATGGAAGGAGCCATTCTGAGGGGTAGGGAGATACCACTATTCTTCCGGGGGGTGGGGGCGCAGCTCCATGGTGCGTTCCTGTGTCCCGCTGGGTGATGTCCCCTCGGGGACCCTGGCTCCCTGCCCCGCCCGGGGCGCTCTGGGGCTGCTGGGAGGAGCCCCTGGGCGCTACCAAAGCAGTGGGGTGGGGGAGAGAGGAACGTGCCTAGGCCCAGGCATTGGGGGGAGCGAGTGAGGAGGTGCCTGGACCTAGACCTAGTGGGGCCCATATGGGGGTCCTGCCTGCTGGGCCCCTCTGTGGGGCTTTGGGCAGGGTGGGCACTGGGCCCCCGCCCCTCTGTGGGTGGGGGGCAGGGTGCTGGGTGGGGGTCGAAGCTGTGTTGTTGGGCCCCCATGGGGTTGTTTCCCACACCAGCGTCGCTCCTCGTCGCTCCCCCCCAAAGAGCCACCCGTCAGAGGGGAAAATGCTTCTCATTGTGGCCTTTGGTGCCTGCCCCGACACTGCACTATGGTGTGAGCGCGCACATGGATGCAGTGGTGAAACACAGCCATCTCTGGCGAGGAAGGGTGGCGACTGCTTAACGACGCACAGCAGTTTAGGACAGGAAACAAACACTGCTTTATCCCCAGTGACGGCAAGAGGGATTTTCTATAGTCAGAACAAAACTTCACAGTATCTGAGTGAAAGAGTACCCTGATTGTGTAAAAAGTTAAGAACATACTTGAAATAGCCCCGCTGAACTCAAACAAGATTTGTGCTTTATAATACTAATGTTTAACATTGAGCTTTTGCATAAGGAGGGTTTATGTTCTCGTGTGAGAGGCTTTTTTTAATTGAGTGTGCGGTAAACTGTTACCACAATTTGATTATTTAATGCTGCTGGATGATGGAATCAAGTTTGAGGTCTCAGTACATATCTTCAAAGCACTCAAGGGCCTGAGCCCAGGATATGGAAAAGATCAACTAAAGTTCCAAGATGAAGACTGTGATCAGCAACTTTGCTCTTCTGCTGCAATGGAAATCTCAAAGGCTATGTCTACATTGGCAATTGAACGACAAAACTTGAGTCTTTTTCTAGAGGTGGTGTTCTCCCCCCCCCCCCTCCTCCCCCGCCCCACCAAAAGACAAAAGTTTTGCTGCGACAAGTGCCAGTGTGAACAGCGCATTGTCGGCAGGAGCGCTGTTGTTGGGGGTAGAAGTTTTTGTTGGCAGGAGAGCCAACAAACAGCGGCTACACTGCACAACTTTTAGCAGCACGACTGTGGCGACACAGCCATGTCGCTCAAAGCTGTGTAGTGTAGACATAGCCTAAGAGAGAGGCTCAGCTGTGCAGGAGACAGAACTTTCTTGAGGGCTAGTCCAAGACAGGAATGAACTCCCCAAGGAACAAAGGATCATCACAGACCTTTCTACCTTCCTCTCCCAAGGAGCAATAGTCTCAAGCTGCAGTGCGGGAGGTCTAGGTTGGATATTAGGAAAAACTATTTCACTAGGAGGGTGGTGAAGCACTGGAATGGGTTATAACCCTGGGCGTACGGGGGTGGAATTTCCATCCTTAGAGTTTGTTAAGGCCCAGCTTGACAAAGCCCTGGCTGAGATGATTTAGTTGGGGTTGGTCCTGCTTTGAGTTGGGGGTTGGACTAGATGACCTCCTGATGTCTCTTCCAACCCTGATCTTCTATGATTCTAAGTGCAAAATGTATTTCTTTGAACCTCCCTTCTCTAACATATATAGCTGTGTGTGTGTCAGAAATATATAACACCTAAAACTAAACACTCCATTGCACACTCTTCTTCCTTGGGGAGAGGATGAAAAAACAAACACATGACAGATGTTAGTCGCATTGCATAATGTGCTAATCAAATGTGCTTAGATACTAAGTTGATGAGGCTACCATAAGAACCTGTTGATAAATTATAGTCATTTGCTTGACTATGTTTCAGTTGGTTATGAAATATATTCAAGAAACCAAATAAACCAATATCGGTCAGGTTGATTGCTCTAAGCCAATAATAATATAGTGCAGGAAAAAGGTTCTGTAAGATACCAGTTTTGGGAAGCCACCTTGTGCAGTGTTGTTGTGTTCACCTTTTGCAGAGTGCGCTCCCAGAGTTACACTTCTAAAGCCATCTTTTTATACACTATCTGTTTACAAGTAAAAAGGTACTGTGTGCATCACCCAAAACTTGATTTTACCAAAAAGCTTTTTACCTTGTTTTTCTGGTGCCATCGTGTTCCGTAATCTCTTTGCTCTGAACACATGTATTCCAGGTACCCAGGAGTGTGAAGGCACCTCTTAGGTTTATACCAGGGTAGAATACACACACATCTTGTCCTTTTCCTTTGGGACGTTCCAGTACTGGCCTGTAAGGGTAACTCCCTACTTATTACTATGGTAAAACACACATGGTCTGATCCTGAGATTTTTCCTATCTACTTAAGCCAAATTTTACATCAATAAATACCAGGTATTATGGGACACTTAGCATAAGTGAACAGGATTATAAGTAAAGATCTAGGCCAATTTAGGCTATATAACTGCTACAAAATTTTGTGCTTGATGCATACTAATGTGTATGTGGTGCGGATAATACATATTATTGTAAAATATAGATATATGCTAGCCAGCATGTATTGGTCAACAGAATATATAAAATAGTTTTTAATGCCCATAGATGGTTATTGAAAGTTTAATTATTTATTGGGGCACTCAGAGCTTTTGAATGAGCATTCTTCTTTTCTTTTAATGTCAAATCTAAATAATACATTTCTGCAGGATTGGGGCCAGAATAGGTAATGAATCTTAAAAGTTTTTTTTTTTTTAATTTGAGAGACATACCTCCGAGTTGATTTGAAAAGTTATACCCAGAGAGCACAGTTACATGTAAGTCCCCATCAGTACAGTTATTCAGAATTGTGCAGTATCCAATGTACAATAATTGAAAATTTAGTGCTGTGTTAACGTTTATACTTGCATATGCAGGGAAGCACTGAAATAGTTCTTTAAAGAATAAATCTAATTACGTAGGGTTTGCCAGAACTCTGCATGTGTGACTAGCTTGTGGTAATTTTGAAGGCAGATTTTGCACATTCATTTTTATGTGTGCAGTTCTGGACCGAATTCAATCACTGTATTATCAATATTCATTCCAAAAGAGAGGAGAAGAACTATTTCTTATCCATCCACGTAGCTATAACTCTTGTCCAAGCTCTCATTCTCTTGGTTCTTGATTACTGCAACATCCTTCTCTCTCGCCTTGACAAAAGCAATCTTGCCATGCTTTTATCCATTCAAAATGCTGCTGTAAAGATCATTTTCCTAGCCTGTTGTTTTAAGCATGTCACTCCTCTCTTTGCATCCCTCCACTGGCTCCCCCTTCTCTATCGCATTGAATATAAGCTGCTTATTGTTACTTTCAAGGCCCATCCCTAGCCCTACCTGTCATCTCTCCTATCAAGATGTCAGCTCTTGCATCTGGTCGGCTCATGATGCTGGCCTCCATCACCCATTTTCAAACTAAGATCTTCTGCTTTCTCCCATACTGCTCCTCACACTTGAGAGACACTTCCCATAGCAATTGAAAAGCCACCTTGTTATCCTTTTTCAAGAATTCTCTGAAATGCTCCCAGTTCCATGCGTAGGGCCAGTTAGACAGGCAGAACTGCAGAGTCTCAATGCGTGGCTGAGACTATGTTGTAGGGAGGAGGGGTTTAGATTTATTAGGAATTGGGGAAACTTTTGGGAAACGGGAAGCCTATACAGGAAGGATGGGCTCCACCTAAACCAAAATGGAACCAGATTGCTGGTACTTAACATTAAAAAGGTCGTAAAGCAGTTTTTAAACTACGGGCTGGGGGAAAGCCGACAGGTGCGGAGAAGCACGTGGTTCGGACATCGCTTAGGGGAGGATCTATTAATAGAGAATCTCTATGACCTAGTGAGGACGAGAGGATGGAAAATGATAAAATACAGGCAGGGTTTGGTCAGAATCAGTCAAATAAAAAAGACTCCCATTCAGTTACATCGTGTAATGGCAGACAGCTAAAAGGAGACAAGTTTTTAAAGTGCCTATATACCAATGCTAGAAGTCTAAATAATAAAATGGGTGAACTAGAGTGCTCGTATTAAATGAGGATATTGATATAATAGGCATCACAGAAACTTGGTGGAATGAGGATAATCAATGGGATACAGTAATGCCAGGGTACAAAGTATATTGGAAGGACAGAACAGGTTTTGCTGGTGTGGGAGTGGCACTATATGTGAAAGAAAGCGTAGAATCAAATGAAGTCAAAATCGTAAATGAATCAAACTGTACTATAGAAATAAGCTGCCACAGGATAAGGGGGAAGGTACTCTCATGGATTGGTAACTGGTTAAAAGATAGGAAACAGAGGGTAGGAATAAATGGTCAGTTTTCAGAATGGAGAGAGATAAATAGTGGTGTCCCCCAGGGGTCTGTTCTGGGACCAGTCCTATTCAACATATTCATAAATGATCTGGAAAAAGGGGTAAACAGTGAGGTGGTAAAATTTGCAGATGATACAAAATTACTAAAGATAGTTAAGACCCAGGCAGACTGCGAAGAGCTACAAAAGGATCTCTCAAAACTGGATGACTGGGCAACAAAATGGCAGATGAAATTTCATGTTGATAAATGCAAAGTAATGCACATTGGAAAGCATAATTCCAACTATACATATAAAATGATGGGTCTAAATTAGCTGTTACCACTCAAGAAAGAGATCTTGGAGTCATTGTGGATAGTTCTCTGAAAACAACCACTCAATATGCGGCGGCAGTCAAAAAAGTGAACAGAATGTTGGGAATAATTAAGAAAGGGATAGAAAATAGGACAGAAAAACATGTTGCCCCTATATAAATCCATGGTACACCCACATCTTGAATACTGTGTGCAGATGTGGTTGCCCCATCTCAAAAAAGATATATTGGAATTGGAAAAGGTTCAGAAAAGGGCAACAAAAATTATTAGTGGTATGGAACGGCTTCTGTATGAGGAGAGATTAATAAGACTGGACTTTTCAGCTTGGAAAAGAGATGGCTAAGGGGAGATATGATTGAGGTCTGTAAAATCATGACTGGTGTAGAGAAAGTAGATAAGGAAGTGTTGTTTACTATGTCTCATAACACAAGAACTAGGGTTCACCAAATGAAATGAATAGGCAGCAGGTTTAAAACAAATAAAAGGAAGTATTTCTTCACACAACACACAGTCAACTTGTGGAACTCCTTGCCAGAGGATGTTGTGAAGGCCAAGACCATAATAGGGTTCAAAAAAGAACTAGATAAATTCATGGAGGATAGGTCCATCAATGGCCATTAGCCAGCATGGGCAGGAATGGTGTCCCTCGCCTCTGTTTGCCAGAAGCTGGGAATGGGCGACAGAGGATGGATCACTTGATGATTATCTGTTCTGTTCATTCACTCTGGGACACCTGGCACTGTCCACTGTCGGAAGACAGGATACTGGGCTAGATGGACCTTTGGTCTGACCTAGTAGGGCCATTCTTATCTTAAAATCCTCCTCAAAAGTCTCCTGTACCATGATGCCTACAAAAAATTTGACACTGGTCAGAGTGCTGGTGTGCAGAGTATACTGCCTATCATGCTGTCCAATATTGTCATGTCGTTTCCTTGTACTGCCCTGTCGGTCTGTAGCCATCTGTTGTCTCCTGTCTACTTAGATTGTAAACTTTTTGTGGCAGGGACTGGTTCTCTATTTATACAGCACCTAGCGCAACAGGGTCTGGTCCATGATTGGCGCTCCTAGGTATTACGTATCAGAGGGGTAGCCATGTTAGTCTGAACTGTGAAAAGCGACAAAGAGTCCTGTGGCACCTTATAGACTAACCGACGTATTGGAGCATAAGCTTTCGTGGGTGAATACCCACTTCGTCAGACACAAAAAGAATAATCTAAAACGAGACAACAGATGGATAGATGGGAGGGCAAGGAAAGGATGCCTAGAACAGTAATGTTATTAGCCATCTCTTAGTGCAGTTTAGCAGCTGGAGACAAGGAGGAGAGCCATTAGCACATCACCAACCAGCTCTCTGCCCGTAGTTATTGAGTGCTCCATGGACCACAGTTTCAGAGCTGCTAGTTCAGCTTCACATCCAGGGCTGCAGTTGGGCAAAAAGTGTGCAGGAACTGATCCATTGCAAACAGCACAGAGCTGGAGATAGTGGAATAGCAAAAGGTGTCTGAGTGAATGAAGTTTTTCTCCACTGGATGGTGCTGCTTGTCCAGGATATCAGTAGCACCTCCACAGTGTAATTCTCCAGGGGCAGTTTGGTACAGCGGAGTGCTAGTATTGGAACTGAATCACTTTTCGCTTGCAGGATGATAGGTAGTTTACTTCTTCATTTTGGAAAGATTACAGTGAACAAACAGCTCTGACAAAGAGAATTGTTCTTTCCAAAACTCATTTGGAGAAGAAGGGATTTTTCACTAGGAGGGTGGTGAAGCAGTGGAATGGGTTACCTAGGGAGGTGGTGGAATCTCCTTCCTTAGAAGTTTTTAAGGTCAGGCTTGACAAAGCCCTGGCTAGGATGATTTAGTTGGGGATTGGTCCTGCTTTGGGCAGGGGGTTGGACTAGATGACCTCCTGAGGTCCCTTCCAACCCTGATATTGTATGATTCTATGATGGCTGCAGCTCAGAGGTTGGATTCCTGGCTCTGCCACAGATTTCTTGTTGATTTTAACTAAGTCAGTTCACTTCACTTCTCTGCGCTTGTTTTCCTATCTGTAAAATAGGACTAACACATCTGCCTCAGAGAAATGTGAAGATTAATACCCTGTCTGTAAAATGATTTGAGGTCCTGTGATTGAAGGTGCCAGGAAAGTGATACAGATTTCAACTTTGAGAAGCTACTCTACTAGGTCTTGGAACCAGGGTTCTCTGGGGAGTATGAACTGTAAAGCATCTTAGATATATGTGGCAGCTTTACACCTGTCGAAGTTGTACCAAATTTAATTCCTTGGGTTTTGTTAAGCCATTATCCTGGCTAATAGTTACAATAGACAGAAGAGGAAGGTTCTGCAGATGTTGTAGCTGGTAGGAAGTGCTGAACAGGTGGGATTATAGTGATTTGAGGAAGGTGAAAGGAGAACAATGATGAGGAGACTTCAGGCTAAAGGGGTAGAGGAAAAGGGACAGTGTAAGGCATGGAATTGGGAAGGAGACATTAGTGTACTTGAAACCTTCCGTATGTGTGTGACTGTGTCCTCTTGAATTGATCCTCCTATGCTGCACTGGTTGACTTTGAAAAGTACAACCTTCTGTGGCTTAAAGGGACAATGGCCAAGATTTTCAAATGTGAGATTCAATGTTTGGGTGCTCAGTTTGATTTTTCAGAGGACTAGTGATCGTTATTTTTTGAAATCAGGTTTCTTTGAGGTGTGTTAAGTTGGTTGCCCAAAATCACTAGTTAGCTTTGTAAATCTTGGCCAACATCCACATAACTCCTTTTGGTTGAGATTTTCAAATTAGCCTAAGGAGGTGAAGTGCCCAGTTCCCAGTGAAGATCTGTGGGAGTGTTGGGCACTTGGCATATTTAGGCCCTTTTGATCATCTCAGCCACTTTGTGTTTATCTATAAACACAAACAATCCCTATGTTATTGGTATCACTATAGATTATCAACACCAACAGAGCTTTAGACTTTTCTCCCTTTATGCTCTATTAACTTCTTGAATTTTTACTCAACTTGGATAGTGAAAACAGGCTGGTCAGTTTCACTTATGGAAAAGCATACCAAAAGTCATATCGAGATCTCCCTAGAAACCTATAAAGTTTTCCAGAGAATGAGATCCTTTCTGTTGGTATTTAACCATCTGCTGGAATTTTGGGGTATTCCATCAGCAGGGTATAATTTCCTCTTAAATCCAATAGGACTTTTCTTGAGGGTGGTTTTTCTGTACTGCGCAGGGCAGTTACTAACGCTTCTAATGCTGCCTGGGAACGTTAAAGCTAATGTTAAAAAAAACAATTAATTTTGTAATTTTTCTCATCACTGTGTTTTGTGGATTTTTTTTTTTTTAAGTCGGAGTGTTTTTTTAGAAGAACCAGAATTGGGGCCAAAACCAAATTGGGTTCCTGTAATCTTGTTCCTATTTTCCAAAGGTGCATTTAGAGGAATGATGGTCTTGTAGTTAAAGCATGGAATTGTGACTCAGGGGAATTGGGTTCAATTCCTGGCTCAGCCACAGAATTTTTATTATCTTGAGCAAGCCTCTCTGTGTCTCCATCTGTAAAATGAGGGTAGTAATGCTTCCTTTTTCTGTTTAGGCCCTGATCCTGCAAACAGTTATGCACTTGCTTAACTTTGCTATGCCGGCTTTACTTTGTTGGTTTCAATGGAACTACTCATGATAGTAAAGTTAGGCATGTGCATAATTGTTTGTAGGATTGTAAGCTGTTTGAAGCAGAGGATCTTTCGTACTGTGTCTGAGCACAGTGTGGCCTTGATCCTCATTTGGAGACTCTAGGTGGGTGCAACTGTAATACAAATAATAATGTCATCTGAGTTCTCAGATAAATTAGCCATTCTCTGTGCAGACCTTGAAAGTTTTCATCACATTGGTGTTTGTTCTGTACTCGTTTGAATAAGCAGACATCTGTGACTGGTTATGTTTAATTTTTTTTTTTATTAAAGCAGTGGTTAGATCCACTCTATTCTGACATTCAGGGAGGAAGGATGGTCCAGTGATTAGGGCACTAGCCTAGAACTTGGGAGACCTGCATTTGAGTCGCTGCTCTGCCACATACTTCCTGTGTGACCTTGGGCAAGTCTCTTAGTCTCTCTGTGCTTTAGCTCCCTGTCTGTACAATGGGGCTAATATCACTTCCCTACTTCACAGAAGTGTTCTGAAGATAAATACATTGAAGATTGAGATGCCCAGATACTTTGGTAATAGGGACTATATAAGTACCATAAATAGTCTGTTTTAGATTCTGTTTGGAGGGAAAATAATGTCTTGACTTTTTTTTAATTGCATTATCAGCTTCTGTGATATTAAATGGAGCATAACATTTTTTTCCCCCTGCTGTAGCCCGTAAAAAGCAGAAGTGGTCTGTGGATCCTAGAAACAGCGCCTGGAGTAAAGATGAATCCAAATTTGGCCAGAAGATGTTGGAAAAAATGGGATGGTCCAAAGGAAAGGTACGGTCTAAAGGGAAGTGTGTGGTCTTGCAGAAAAGCAAACTCTCAGGTGTTACAGAATTTGAAATACTGAGAGATATCTGGATACAGGAATTACAGGCAGTTCTTAGGCCTATAGTTGATAGGGCTATATCCTTTTTAGTAGGTACTTTACTGTTACCCCTCTACTACTGACTTCTGGATCTCTCCTGCTGTCCTGTTTCCTTTTTTCCTTTTCTGCTCTCTTTGATAAGGAGATGGGTGACCCCAATTTAGAACTGCAGGAGCTACAGATGGGCCTCCCAAATTCTGACAGCTGCCTGGGGTGTAAGATAGAGCAGCTCCTGAAACTTCTCTAACCTTTGACAACTTTTAATGGCCCCTTATGATCTGCTCTTCCACCCAGATTAGCCAGAGCATAGCATCAAGCCACATCTCTTCCCACCCCAGCATGCTCCTATGGTAGAGAGCTGTGGGTGGAGGCCAGTGATCTTACCATGCCAGAAATATTCCCTGTTGGCCAATAAAGACATTTCTGCTGCCTCTTTACAGTGGCTCAGCTTCTATAGAGACCCCACAGAGCCCAGAGTTGAGGCCTGTGTCTCTTCAGCATTTCCAGGTGCTAGTTACCTGACTAAACGCAAAAGAGAATGGTCTTCATTGTATTCCTCATCCACCATTTGAAAAAGAATAATAGTTGTGGCTTTCTTGAGTTTAGGAGGCTCGCAGAACTTCTGGTGAAAGAGAAGAGGTACTCCTGAATGTCTCGCAATAACTGTGTTGACTTGGGAAAGTTGCTTAAAGAAAAGCTAGCCTAAAGAGGTTTTTAACTGGCTCTGATTTTGCACTTAGTTGCTGGAGCAGAATTTCACATACAAACTGCAACAGGTAGGGCCTAATCCCAAACCCATTGACATCAATGAGTCCATTGGCTTCGAGAGGTTTTCTAACTGTGATTAATTAACTTCTTGATTTGTAAGCACAAATGCACATTTGTTAGTGCTTTTAATGTGATGTGAAAATAAGTATGAAAGCCATGGGATTTTAAAACTGAGATTGAGATTTTAAAACTGCTCACATTGGATAAAATCATGCTGGCAACAACCATGTCCAAACACAGCTGTTGCCTTAACTAACGTGGACAGAAATTTTTTCCTAAGTGCCCTAAAACCATGCTATAAGTCCTGCCTACACTGGAATTACAGCTAAAGTGGGGAAGATCGGTTACAACACAGTCCCAATAGATGGGGCAATATGCCTGGTACGTGGTAGCCAGAAGAATCTGGCTAGCATAGTTTTTAAAACAAAATTCACTATCTGCTGGGCCCATGCTAGCAACAGTCATGTTTAAATATGAGTTATTGCTACATAAAACAGGTTTTCAACCATAGGCCTCATCTACACTACTCCCAAATACCGGGATGTGTACGAGTGTTCTTTTGTGACTTCTCCTTATCTGTGTGGCTAGGAAAAAATAAATAGGCTAGGGAATGAGGTCTTATCTTTGATAGGTACCTTGGCTAAAACATGGTATCCTAGCATAGGCTTAGCATGTTTGGTTTTCCTGCCACCTGGGCAAGAAAATACATATTGGGCCCCAAACATATTTCCTTACTGAATTTAAACACTGTTAGTTTTTAGTATGGACAAAGCCAAGATCTGAAGTCCTGACTTGCCCCAAAACTCTTCATGAACAAGCAAATAGTAACACAATTATGTGTGAGAATGCAATGGAGGAAGGAAAAAAGTAAGGAAATGGGTCCTGCTGAATTCCAGTTAGTCAATTACATGTTTATTTGCCTCACTCTAACCTAGGGTGACCAGACAGCAAGTGTGAAAAATCGGGACGGGGGTGGGGGATAATAGGAGCCTATATAAGAAAAAGCCCCAAATATCAGGACTGTCCCTATAAAATCGGGACATCTGGTCACCCGACTCTAACCTCTCTCTGCAAGTTCAGTATTCTTCGTTTCCTGTTGGCAGTTGTTTAACTAAGTACAACAATTACCTCTTCCACCCCTGAGGTGGATGCATTTCTGTGGCGAGAGAAGCATTCCCAATATGTGCTCTCTCTTTCTATGTTCAAAGTTGTAAAACACTGCAGGATCACCTAGAAATGTAAGGTGGTGTCCTGATTAATCAGGACACCTCAGTGATATTACTACTTTGGTGTTTTGAGGGGCACATAAACAATCAGTTAAAAATACACAAATTCTCAATGTGCTGCTTATAGTATTTGCCTGAATTAAATCATAGGCAAGAAAAGAAATATAAATTGTGTCTTGTCTGTATTTCAAAAACAAATGGTCTTTCTGTATGATACCTATATTTATCTTTAATGTCGCTCCTGAAAAACACTTACAATTTGCCTTATATTCTCATTAGGGTCTTGGGGTTCAGGAACAAGGGAGCACAGAGCACATCAAGGTTCAAGTGAAGAACAACACACTTGGTTTAGGAGCAGCCATAAATTATGAGGTGAGTCTTAGTTAGCTTTGCTGCCAACCCAGGTAAGAATGTGTTGATTGTTGACAGCCCCTTTATGTAATGGGAAGCGAGTGAAATCTATCATCAAGTTTGTATGGTGTCAGGATAATGATGAACATCTCACAGAAAGAGAAACCAGCTAACAGCAGTATTGGTACAATTGTGTCCTCTTGGGTTTTTTTGGGAGGATGTTGGAGTGAGGAGGCAGCGGTGCATAATGGGGAGTAGGCTGCTCAGAGATGCCACTTCCCACAGACAACCGAAATGTTTGTTTACTGGTAGATATCCCTTTGTCTCCTTTTACTAGGCCTGGGTTTTGTGCCTTCCTGTCATTCTGCTCCCTATTCCTGGAACAGTCCCCATTTCCCGTTGGCAGTCATGGGCTTGCACAGAATGTGGGATCGAGCCCTAAAGCCGCTGTCTGAGTCAACATCTGAACTGACTTTGTGTGTTCTCATCTTTTGTGCTGCAGGAAAATTGTTAGCATTTCCTGCCTGGAGCTGAAAACAACGTGCCCAGCCTGGGGCATGACAGAGCGAACAACAACTCAGTATTGTTTGAAGACTTTCAAACGCAACTCATAGGCACTTGGAGCGAACTTAACGAGCTGTAGTTAGTGTTTCTACCTGTGAAACTTTAGGGGATTCCTAGTTACCCTTTGGTGTTTAGAGCTAGAGGATGTATAGTGAGACTCTGACAGACCTTTTGGTAGGATCTTTTGCCTCTTATTCACTTGGGTGTTATTTACAGGACAACTGGATTGCTCATCAAGATGACTTCAACCAACTTCTAGCTGAACTGAATAATTGCCACGGGCAAGGTGAATCAGGTATGTTAATACTTCGCTATATTGGATGCTGGAAATTTCACTGAGAATTTCCTCTATTTTTCATTTCTTAAAAGGCAAATGAAGGCCCAATCCTGTGGGCTGGCGATACTTCTTGCACAATGCTCATCCCCCTTCAACTCTCATTAAAATGAGTGGGAACAGAGGGTTCAGTGCCACGCAGAACCAAGATGTTAATTCTGATGAGGATGTATATGAATTACATTTAAATTCTATAGATTGTAATAGGCTTTGAATCAAGCCCTTGTTAGGGCTTTTCAACAGAAAAGGCAGACGGGTGTGTTCCCTTTATTTGGTGGGATATGCAGAAGCAGCAGCTGTCCACTGAAAAACAGCCTGAGGCAGTTCAAAGGCGTGACACACAAACGTTCTCCATTGCCTCATTTTACCTCTTGTCAGCCTCGTTGATGAAGAATTGTGTCTGGCTTTTACCTAGTGGCAGTTTCTTCAGCGTTTCACTTTTCCTGCCCTTGAGAAACTGCTGTTTGGGGGTCAAAACCTACCTACTCTTTAAATATGGTGGGGTAATGTGATTTAGTTGGGCAAAAGGGCAGGACATGCAGAAGCAGGAAACTTGTCAAAACTTTCCAAAAAGAGCTATGTCTCTTAGTCTCAGAAAGTACTTGGGCCTGGTCTATGCACATGCTGGTTTAAATAATAGGAACAAACTAAACTGATATAAGCAAGATTTAAAACAGTGCAAGCGTCCACATAGTGCTGCATAAGTTTAACTAACTCGATCTAACATCCTGCCTTTACTTAGAGTGGGGCAATTTTTATGTGCTGCCAGGCCGTTGGGCTCCAGGTCTGCAACCGTTAGTTCCCTGGTGGAGCCCCATTAAAGTCAGTGGGGTTCTGCGTGGGTGCAGCATCTGGCCACAAATTATCAGTTGCAGTATGTTGGCCTTAGTGAGTTTATTCAAAATATTCAGAGCAAATTGTAGCTGCTAATGAGTTAATCCTAAAAATGACAGCAAGAGTGTGGGGTTATTTTGGAGTTACGAGGAGGATCAAAATCAGTTTTTACGGTGGAGAAACTACAACCTCCCCTTAATAAGCCGCACACCTACAGGGCTGCGACTGGTATCCTGGTCCTCAAACTCTAAGGGCCAGATTTTTAAAGGTATGTAGGTGTCTAAAGATATAGAGAGGTGCCCTGGTCATTTTCAAAGTGCCTAGTTCCTAACTTCCATTGGATTTAGGTGCCTTTAAAGATCCCACTGGGCACCTCTCTATATCTTCAGGAATCTGAATACAATTAAAAATCTGATCCTAAAATCCTACTGAGCTACAGGAAGATCCGTTAGCTGTAACCCATGGGAAGATCCTGATGGTTTTTGTAAGTTGATGCCATCCATTAAGTGCTTTCAAAGGTGGGCAAGTGTCACTAACCCCATTTTTACAAATATGGAAACTGAGGAGCAGAGAGGCTTAAATGACTTGTCCAAGGATGCACAGTGAGTCAGTGACATAGCCGGGTTCATTGAAGGAAGTCCTGGTTCCCAGGCCTGTGCTGTATCCCCTAGGTAGACCCTTGTGACCTCTCCAAAGTCCTATGCTGTGCTAAGTTTTGAAGACCCTTGATATCGAAAGATATTTATACTTGGCTCACCCCCATGGTATCAGAGCACCCCTTTCATTGTTCAGTATTCACGAAAAGTGAATAGGATATGGACATAAAGCAAATTGTTTAGAAAATGGGGGTGACTATTTCTGCAGCATTCGCCCAGCCCTAATACTGAGTCTCAGTAGTCAGCAGAGGAGGTGATGATGGATCTCTCCAGTGAAAGCTCCATAGATAAAATTCCTGATGTTGGATACTGAAGTTCCACCTTAGAGCCACAAGAGGGTGCTGGTGTCACTCTTGCTGGAAGTGTGAGATTGCGATTGACGCTCCACTGAGAATTCTTATTTCTGAGAATGTTTTGTGTTCCCCCTGGATTAGACAGCAGTGGCATCAAATGTGCCTGCTATTATGATGCTCAGTTTCCACACACAACCTGTCTTTGAGGGCTTTCAACTCTGTCTGCAGCAAATTCTTTATAGCCTCAGATTTGCTAGACCTAGGAGTAACTAGTTCCCCTCATTACAGATTTTTCAGTTAAAATGCAGTAGGGGTTGGATGGATCAGGGAGTGATCATGGGCTATTAGCTTTTCCCCTCTAGGTTGCTGGTTTAATTCCAGGTCAGTCATTCTGAGTTCCAGACAGTGCCACCTGTTCTAGCCCATGGAGGGTAATGGGTTTGCACAGGTTCACCACGGGACTAATTTTGTCTGCAGATCCTTGATTACAGGTGAGGGCGCGTGAGAATGAAGGACCCCAGCTTGGCTATTGGTACCCAGGCTGAGTCTGCAGGCCTTGCAGTTAGAAAATACATCTTAACTTGTAAACTGACGACGATGATTTTTATTGTGGTAGCAGGTAGGATCCCTAGTCGAGGACCAGGACCACACTGTTAGGTGCTGTGCGAACACCGAACAAAGCCGTGAAGAGCTTACAATCTAAGCGTAAGACGAGACAACAGATGGGTACAGACAGATGGGGGAGCACCAGGAAGCAGTGAGATGATATTGATCAGCATGATAGGCAGTGGTCTCTGCACATCTGCAGCCTAACGGTTATCAGGGTTTTTTTTAAAGCATCCCAGCATAGGAATTGGGGGTGGACAATGAGGTAGCTTTGTGGATGTTTATGGGGAATTCCTCTGAAGCGTGTGGGGCAGCATGGGAGAAGGCATGAAGGTGCTTGTTTGGAAATTGAATAAGTGGACGATGGAGGCTGGCACGATGGGACGATCGGAGGCGAGTATCTACCTCTTGATGCTGAATGAGGAGATGGTTGGTAAGGTGGGGATTGGCCATGAAGAGCCTTGGAAGGGAAGAGAAGCAGCCTATGAGTGATTGCACTAGAAAAATGGGAGTCACTGAGAGATGATCACAGAACCTCACAATGCCGTTTCCAGCCACTTTTCAGGGTAGTACCCTAACTTAAAGTTGCTCCTATATATCAGTGTGTTTGTCTTCAAGAATTCCTTTTAGATTAATTGGTATGGTGGGCAACAAATGATCATAACAGACTCTATCTAGGGGTTGTACATAAAGACATTGTACAGCACTTAGAAGCAATCAGGTTGGCGGGCCATTGTTCTAGGCGGTGTTGCCATATAAATGTTTAGTAGCAAGACACTGTCCCTGCTCTGAAGAACTTGCATCTTTTTTCAAATTACTTTTATAACAAGTAGGGGTAACAATAGCTGGGAAGTGGGGTAATAAGAACATACGGTAACATATCTTGAACAGCACTTATCATGCTCCTTTGATGTTGTGTTGTGACCGGTTGTTGGGACGTGGTCCTAAATTGTGGTGTTAAATATACTGACATTTGAGTTTAGTGGTTAGCGTTTGTCTAATGGAAACGTAACCTTTGTGTTTTAGAGCCCTCTTGCGAACAGAAGAAGACATTCAGTCTTGAAGAGAAATCCAGATCCTCCAGGAAACGTGTTCATTATATGAAGTTTGCAAAAGGTAAGGGGCACATTGTTGTTCTTTCATGAACTGCAGGGTTATAAATATCTATGTACCAGGATGACACATACCCTCTGACTTACATTTGGCATTTGCCACATCCATGTGGCAACCAGCTTTAAATTATAATAGAGCTTTCCTGCTTTATTTGGCAGTTTTTGTTGGCTTTAGGCTGGTATTCTTGAATAATTCAATCATTGTCTATAGGAAGCTGCTATTTAATAAGGAAGGGTGACTATTTTGAATGGTGTAAAAGAAAAAACACAATGGTCCATGTGTTGAAAGAACTAACTAGAAGTTGTTGCTTGGACATCTGTACAGCTATATCCTGTGCAATCATGATAGCCCCTCTTAGTGGTCATGTGGATAAGGTCAGTGATAAGCTTAAACTTGATTGCGGTAAGAGGAAAGCCCTGTTACCAGGTCTTCTCTCTATCGTTGATCATTGGTCTAAGTCACCCAAATAATGACATTTAACTCCTGAAGTTTTGATTTTTTTTTTTCTTCATGATAACAGCCATCCTCTGCTTCTGGCTTTTCTTTACTTCTCTCTGAGGTGTGTGTGTAAATAAAAATGTCCTTGGTATTGATTCTACCCATACATACTATTTTCCACTAATGGGTACTTCGTTAAAATATAATCCCCAGTACAATGTTGTGTTACACTAGTGAATGCATCACATAAAATAGTGGCAGTTGCCTTCTGACTGGGGGCCAGATTTTAGTATTGAAGTTTTGCTCTTCATGAGCCAGGATTAACCCCCAGAGCAGAGCTGGCTACGCTGTATCCAGAGAAGAAGACTTAATGCTGTCAGAGGCAGGGATATCCGGCCAGAGTTCGAGGAGACACGCTTTCTCCCTGCACTCACCCTGTCTGTAGAGGGACACAGACCATTCCTCTCCCTAGCTTGGTGCAGCCTTCTCCACCCTGCTGCATCCAGTCAGCAGCATGACCATCAAGGTGGAGGGAGAGGGGGTAGGGCCACGACTCTACCCCTTCCCTGGCCTCTTTGGGATGACTTGAGGGAGGGCAGAGAGACATTTTTTGTTTGTCTGAGGACAGGCACTACAGTGGGCTTCTTGTGCCCCCTTGCTGCCTCATCCCTACCCATTCCTCCCTCTACAAAAGGGCCAAAGACAATCAACATTTAGGGCCAGCATAACATGTCCCTGTCTCTTCCCCAACCCCCAAGGCTTCTGGAACCCCACTGTTCACTTTTGATATTGTCCAAATGAATAATGGCTGCATTTCTTTGCTCTCTCCCCACCGCCCCCCCAGGAAAGGATCTCTCTTCCCGCAGCGAAGATGACCTGTCCTGCATTTTTGGGAAACGACAGAGTACAAAAACTGAGGTAAATCATATGACTGTAAGACTGGAAGGGACCCCCTGGGTCATCGAGTCCAGTCCCCTGCTATCACAGACAACCATGTCATACAATCTTGTTCATAAACGTAGCAAGTTCCATCTCAAAACCAGTTAGGGCAGTGGTGTGCGACCCGTGGGCTGCACGCCGCCCATCAGGGTAATCCGCTGGCAGGCCGTCAGACAGTTTGTTTACATTTGCACGGCCGCCCGCAGCTCCCAGTGGCTGCGGTTCGCCGTTCCTGGCTAATGGGAGCTGCGGGAAGCAGCGGCCAGCACTTCCCTGCAGGTCGACAGGCCAGCATGTCTTTCTTGATCGTGGGTTCAATAGTGTAAATCATTCCTCTTCCTTTAACATTTTTCCCTTTAAAAAAACCTATGCACATATCCAAATGACTTGGTGCAAGTGAGATTATTACGTACCCTTCAAGAGCAATGGCCTTTCCTGTCTGTAAAGCCCCCATTCTGTCCCTATTAAAGCTCTGAATGGAAGGGCAAGCTTTTAACTGTTGGGTGAAAAGAGTGAGTTTAGTGGATGTTTTAATGATCTACTGCGGACATGGCATAACTTCTCTAAAAATCAGTCAGTATTAAGAATATTGTTTTTCCTTTTACACTCTTATTTGCAGTATAGAGTGCATAGTAGCTATCTTTTGTTGTTTGAGTTGCAGATTACGTACATATTGTAAATATAAAGTACAATATTTAGCAAAAACTGACCAAACTCAGCAAAACAGCAAATTGTTCTTATGTTTCCACAAGAGAGCTGAATATTTACAAATTCTAAACCTGAGGAGCTGTTTTAATGTCACTTTAAATATGGTGGCTTGGTTTTCACTTTCGTTGTTCGGTATGCAATACTCACAGGCATAAATGAGTTCTGCTATTAAATATCTCCCAGGGACTCTTTGTTCCTTCAGGTAGGTAAAATGTGAAGTCCAAATTGAAGCTTAGAGACTCACCGATGTGAGTTCTGTAGGTCACAGCTAGGTTTGCACTTAATATTTCAGTAGCATTTTGCTGTTATGGGGAGGGTGTCTGTCTTATGAATATGCAGAGTGATTCCCTTGTGCAGGAACGTGACTAGTGCAACCAGGCAAGTGTTTTGGCAATACTGATGATCACTAGTGTGCACACACAGAAGGGACAAAAGAACGTGCCACAGGAATTATACTGCTAACCCTGTGAGCACTCTGAAGTCGTGGTTAGAGGGAAGGCTGCAGCCTGTGTTTGAACTGAGAGGATTTCTTGAATACCATATGTGATGGAGCTAGACTATGCAGAGCCTTGTGCCAGCTCCAATCAACATTTTAAAGCTGTTCTACAGCTTCACAAGAAGCCAGTGACATGGAGCTTGGGAATAGTGTGTTAGGAGGTCCTGTCTCTGATGAGTGTTGTAACGGTAAAGATCTGTAGGCTATCAAAACTATAGTACCTCCATGGCAGGGAGAGAAAGTGGGTATCGGATCTGCTTCTTATGGTAAGAATTCCCCAAACTGCAAGAATTGCGCTACCATTAATTGAAATAACTGAGGCTAGAAGAGACTTAAAACCAAGAACCGTCCTGTCTTGTCAGCAACTGAGAGTCATAATCCAGATCTTCATTTTACAAGCCACATCATTTGGACTTGATGGATAACAGTTTGGGGAGACTTCATCAGCCACAATACTGCTGGTCTTAATGATCCATTAATTTATTACAGTTTTGAAATTGGCTTTTGGACTTCAAGTCCATAGCAGCCACCAGCGGCCTAAGCTATCATATGCCTTCAGTAGTTGAGCCCCCTTGATTAACCTCTCCTATTAACTGTATGGCCATGGGCCCTCTTGCTGAGGTGGTGCCACCTGATAGCTCAAGGTGTAGCAGAACCTGCTGGGACTTGTAGTCTTTTTATAGTCTTCATCGCCACATTAAATTTAAGGAACTCATGGATCACATTTTGCCCAAACAGAGTGATCCAAACAGTGATCTCACTGTAGAATCGTAGAGCTGTAGGACTGGAAGGGACGCTGGGAAGTCATCAAGTCCAGCCCCTTGTGCTGTGGCAGGACCAAGTAAACCTAGACCATCCCTGGCAGGGGTTTGTCCAACCTGTTTTTAAAAAATTCCAATGATGGGAATTCCACAACCTCCCTTAGAAGTGTATTCCAGAGCTTAACTACCCTTAGAGTTAGAAAGTTTTTCCTAATAACTTAAATCTCCCTTACTGCAGAATAAGCCCATTACTACCACTTCTACCTTCAGTAGACATGGAAAGAAATTGATCACAGTCCTTTTTGTAACATATTTGACGATTATCAGGTCCCCCCTCAGTCTTCTTTTCTCAAGACTTCATGTGCCTAGTTTTTTTTAGCCTTTCCTCATACGTCAGGTTTTCTAAACCTTTTATTTTTGTTGTGCTCCTTTCGACTCTCTCCAATTTGTCCTAAAGTGTGGCGTCCAGAATTAGACGTAGTACTCCAGCTGAGGCCCTCACCAGTGCTGAGTAGAGTGGGACCTCCCATGTCTTATAGACAACCACAATGTTAATACACCCCACAATGATATAAGCCTTTTTCACAGCTGCATCAGGTTAACTCATATTCAATTTGTGATCCACATCATCTAGCTTATCTAAATATTCTTTCTTATTCTTTCCCTATTTTAGCTTGCATTCCTTTCACCTTGTTGTTAATATTTTGTTGAGTATCTGGTCACCATTAACCTTTTTAGTGAAAACTGAGGGAAAATAGGCATCATTAAATATCTCAGCTTTCTTGATGTCATCATTTATTAGGTTTCAGAGTAGCAGCCGTGTTAATCTGTATCCGCAAAAAGAACAGGAGTACTTGTGGCACCTTAGAGACTAACAAATTTATTAGAGCATAAGCTTTCGTGGGCTACAACCCACTTCTTCGGATGCATCCGAAGAAGTGG